GTCTTCTCAGGCCCACATCTGAATTGTCCCAGTCCTTCCAACATATGCTGAAGTCCTTTATTTCTGCTACCTTGCCGCCTGCCAACCATATCTTGGGTAAATTTCTTCACTGTTCTCAGCTTCTGATCCAAATCATCCGTCATGGATTGTCTTGTCTTCTGCCACTTGCACAAAATCTCTGCCTGAATTAGTGTCCTTGTCTCCGCCCAAACTTTCTCCCTTGGTGTTGATATCCCTTCGATGGTTCTGCTGCACCTTTCCTTCCATATAGACCAGAGTGTTACTTTTCTGATCATCCCAAACCGTATTCTTTCAGACTTGTGGAACTGAGCTGGAATGTTGGTCGAGAGGAGTTGAATGGGGTGTTCAGGGAGGGGAGTCAGGAAGAGTGAAGCCCAGAGGTCTGATGCCCTGGCCCAATACTCCGTTGCTTCTCTGCACCTTATTGGACAGTGTATCATGTCTTCAGGTTCATTTTCCGAGCATACTACGCATAGGTCAGAGCTATTGGGATCATTGTGTCTTCTTCTGATATGCAGCCATTGGTTTAAAGGTAACGCTGCGTATGAGATAAGCCATTGGAGGCTTCTAATTTTGACCGGTTGGATTGATTTGAACTTCTTCCACGGTATCTGTGATATCTGGGTGGCTCCCTGACCAATCAACTTCGTCCATCTATTTCTGATTGTGGGATCCGGATCCTTGGTTTTATTCAGGGGATTGTAACCCAGTTTAACTGCATAATCATGGACGAGTATATTGGTTCTTAGGTTTTTGCTTTTTCCTGGTGTCCAGGCCCATTCCGCTGGGTCGAACTCCAAGTTCTGAATTGCTGTATCCATTCTGAAGATCGTTTTTGGCCATTGCCCGAATACTCTTACTTTCCTGAGCACAAAGTTATTTAGAACTATTCTTTCTACCCCATCATTCAGAATGGATGAAAGCCCTCGAGTTGAATGAATGATTGGGAAAGAGGTGAACACAGCCAGAGTGTCCGAACCCTGCTGATTATGGGAGAATTGGTAGGTCGTCGAAGGAGGTGATTCCTGTACCAAGACCCCCTACTCTCCTGGTTTTCATGTTGAGGCTTCGCTCAGTAAATCTTTCCATCCATCTGGAATGCAGCATATGACCATTTGCAGGTTCTCATCCTGTTGGTGACATCCTTTGAGCCGACAGGCGAGTTCCTGTTCTGTCACCCAGTCTTTTTTCTCCTCATCCCATATGTGGCAGACTTTCCGAACTCCATGCCTTATCCATGACAGCCATCTCCTTCCTCTAGGTTTGAGGGTTAAAGGGTGGTCACTCGAGTCGTTCACCCTAGGATTACCAAACAGGGGTTGTTTCAAAAACTTCTCTTTGGACTTGGGTCTGCCCACTTTTTTCGGCATGATTTCCCACCATATCCGTAGCAGGGCAGTCCAGTAGGGTGTGGGAGGTCTAGCTTCATTTTCCCCAGTCCCTTTTCGTCGATACCTCCGGCCTGTATTTGGGCTCCATTGTTTGTTCATCACCTAGTAAAGGCCCGACCCTTCGTTGGGGTGTCTACAGGGGCTAGATTCCTGATGCTGTCCAGAGCCAGTTTGTTCCATGCCAATCCAGGTCTGGTGAGGAGTTCAACAATCCATTTAACTTGTAGGGCCTTTGTTTCTTGTTTGGGGTCAATAATACCTAGACCTCCTTCAGCTGGTTTCCTTGTAATGTAGTGCCAGGCTATTTTCGGTATGCAGTTCTCTTTGTTAGGATTGCCGGTCCATAAGTATGCTCTGGTTTTGCGGTTGAGAGCTTTGCTTGTATGGTCCGGTACTGTCCAGATTGATGATATGTACCACATCATTGAGAAGATCGATGTGTTGATGGTCAGCGCACAACCCAGCAAGGACATAAACGTATTTCCCCATCTACCCAGTTTGTTGATTTGGTTGGTTGGTAAGTTTTGCGCCATTTGGGGGGCGAATCCATCTTTTGTCACTAGTATGCCTAGATATCGTGTGGGTGTCTTCCTCCCACGTCATGGCCGCTTCAGGGCCCTGGAGTTAGACAACCACCAACCGATTGTTTTCTTCCAACTAATTTTCATTTCTGATGCTAGTCTGAAGGCTTCCATAGCTCTTAACCAGCGCACTGAAGGAAGAGTCGGACGCTCAAATGAGAACCGTCAGATCATTTGCAAACATTGCTACGGTCGGGAATTGCAGGTGGTGAGTGGTACCCACGTTGACCTCTGGTAACCTGTGAATGGCGGGGTCTTTTTTTGCGCAAGAATGAGGCTATAGCCTCCATCAAAAAGAGACAAATTGGCGGCGCTAGAGGGTCTCCCTGGCGAACCAACCGTGAGATCGGATAACATGCTGATAGCAAGTCATTGACTTGGACACGACCCGTGGCATCATGGTACAGAATGCGCAGCCACTTTCTGAAATTTGGGCCCACTCCCATCTTCTCCATGCTTGCGTCGAGGAAGGCCCAGTTAACCTGATCATAGGCCTCCTCAAAGTCGAAGAAGAGGATTGTTGTGTTTATCCTTTTCTCTCTGACCTTTTTGGCTGCTTCGTTAAGCACAAGTACGTTGTCTAGGATATACCTCCGGGGGATGAAACCTGTTTGGTCAATGTGGAAGCATTGTCTGTCAGATTTAAGATTCGAAAGACGAGCTTTGGCCAGAATTTTGTAAGGGAGAGTCAGCAGCGATATTGGTCTGTAGTTTTGTATGTCTTCCTTCTCCCCTTTCTTGTACAATAGTGTAACTACACTACTCGTCAGGTTTCCTAAAACGCCCTTAGACCAACTGTCGTTTTAGAAATTCAGCAGATCACCCCCTAAGAGTGGCCGGAACTTTTCCCAGTATTTTTTTTTCAGTCCATCTATGCCTGGTGATTTGTTGTTATGCATGCTTTGAACTGCGACTTGTAGGTCCTCTATCGGTTTATCAAGAAATTGTGTGTTTTGAAAGCCCTAAAGGTGCGAAACCGCACCACATAGCTTGAATTTGTGCTTGTTTTGAAAAGGAGGGAGGCGAAAGCTAAAGGTGCGAAACTGCACCACATAGCTTGAATGTTTTCATTTTTTTCTTTCCCAATATTTGTGTTTGTGTATGTTTGTGTGAGAGAGAGAGAGAGAGAGGTGGGGAAGGGGGTATGGGGAAGGGGGTATGGGGAAGGGGGTATGGGGAAAGGGGAAAGCTAGGGGGGAAGTCGAAGGAAGGGTTTGGGGGTTGAAGGCACGAAATCTTGCCACGTGGTTAGGATGCGAAATCGTGCCACTTCTTTTTGTTGTATTGTGTGTGTGTGT